AACGTAAGACATCTTTAGCAGCATGTAGATCCCCGTAATTGAAAAAAAGGTATGTCGCATGCACATGATGCATGCAGAGAGGTTAGTGTCTTGACCTATTCAGTCGTTGGTATAAACCAATGCAATAGTAAATTAGTAATCACGCAATCCTTTCAAACACTCTTTGATTTTACATTATGTTCTCTTAGTACCAACATGTACGTGCATCTAGACAAATTACTAACACAAAAGAATGGTTGATACATGCAACAAAACATGGAAGAGAAACAAAAGAGAATAATAGTAAGACTGTTTTAAGTCATTATGTATGTTGTAAGTCTTTGCTCCTTCGTACTCTCTTGGCTTTTGTGAAATCTCTATCTACAAAGTAATTTAGTAATAAATTTTCAGCAATACAATTAAGGTAGAAATCCAAAACAATTAATGTAAAGAGAAGTAAATGGAATCATTTAAAAAACACCTAACACTAATACTCTAACCAAAGCAAAAACATTTTAAATTGGGTAAATTACATTGTACCCCCTCAGGTTTGGGGTTTATTACAATCACATTCAACATCTTCAAAACATTTCACTTTCATACCTCAAGTACTATTTTATTTCAATATAATACATCTGTTACATTTTCCATCCATTGATCTGTTAAAAGCTGAAGTGGCTGCCACATTTGTGCCACGTGGCAAAAAAATAATTTTTATGCACTTAAAATATTATAATATTTACCCAATAAATAAATAAATAAATAAAAATATTTTGAAAAAAAGGATTCATCCATTTCCTCTCCCCCGTTTCTTCCTCCCCCATCCCATCATCGACACCTTTATCCCTTTCCAGTGCTCCTCCACATTCTCTCTCTGTCCCTGAAGCCTCGCCATCGCGCAAAGGCATACCCTAATTACGGCCTCGCACCATGGGCCCCCAACTTCTATTTCGGCAAAATCCCATCTTCGACGCTGAGAAGAACCAGATCAGAGGCCTCAAGCACTTCGCGACTAAGGAACCAAACCCTCCCTCCCTCCTCATTTCTCCCTCATCTCTTTCACTACAATTTTTTGAATTTTTATCTCCCTCTTTCTCACTACAATTGCAACTCCTCTTCAATTTGAATTTGTATGTGCTCCCAACTCCTCTTCAGATGAGACCCCCTCCCCAATGCTGAGAAGAACTAGATTGAGAGCCTTATCGTCTCCTATGCTCTGCGACCCAGATATGTTGAAGAAAATTGTAGTGAGCGAGAAGGAGAGAGATGAGAGAGAAAAGAAGAGGGAAGGAAGGAGGGTTTGGGTCCCAGTTTGTTTGAAGGTACCAATTGTTTTAGCAATCAATTAGGGTTTAATTCAAATGGATTTGTAGGTTTTTTCACTTAGAGGAAGAAGATACTAGAATTATGAGGTTTGGAGAGAGAAGAAGAGAACATAGAGGTCTGGGGGGCTGCAATGGTGATGGGGAAGGGCTGCGGTGGTGATGGGAAGAGAATGTGGGCCGGGGGGAGGGGGGAAGGGTTCTGGGTTTGTTTGCAGGGGTGGGGGGTTGCGCGGAGGTAGGTTTCAATTTGGGGTTTATTTTTTATTTATTTTTATTTTTTTAAGGGTAAATTATTATAATATTTTAAATGAATAAAAAAAAAATTGCCACATGGCACACATTTGGTAGCCACATGGCACAACTGTGGCTACCACGTCAGCTCTTAACGGATCAATAGATGGAAAATGTAACAGAGGTATTATATTGAAATAAAATAGTAGGTGAGGTATGAAAGTGAAATGTTTTGAAGATGTTGTATACGATTGTAATAAACCCCAAATATGAGGGGGTACAGTGTAATTTACCCTTTTAAATTTGATTAAAATGGCTAGCAACACCTTAAAAAATCAAATAAAAACAAACAACTGTAACCATTTTTTTTATAATGTTGCTTCAAAACTACAGTCCTTTTCTTCAATAGCCTCATAATTCATCATCCGTTTGTTTTATTTTTTTTAGAAATTTCAACACCCAAATGCAATGAGATTACCAAAGTCTATAACTGAGAAATATAAGAAAACAACATAATTAACATTCTACAATCAATTAAAGAAACTGTAAGTTTCATCAAAAGTCTGGTACTCAGAAAAACAAAAAAAAAAAAGAAACTAAATGTTAGGAAAAAATGCAAGTAAGTTCAAATGAAGGGATTTCTTCTGCAGGGTTTACAAACAAACACCATTAAACGAATATGAACTCCACAAATTTAATACAAAATATAATGTAATATCGTGAGGTACGTAATCAGTATGTAATAACTCATATATTGTAGTTCAGGAATAACCTGTGGAGTACACGAATATGTGGTAGTCCAATTTTACATATTCCTCTTTTCCATGCACTCTTACTCTTAACTAACCCACAACCTACCAAAATAAATTTGGCTTTGATTGTCTTAATTGCCAACATGCCCCAACGAATGAGTTGAACAACGCTCCATTGGTTTCTTTTGTTAGAAAAACTGCAGTGAACACCTCGTGCTTTCTCTACAGGTAAATCTAATTCCTAGTCCAAAGCTCTAGGAATTCATCAATAACAAACTTCTTATATATAGCTCTAGGAATCCATCGATAACAAACTTCTCATATATCTCACAATGCACATACAAAATCCCAGCTATTGAAAACTCATCAAAAGCATCATTAAACTTCAAATCCATAAACTTCATCGGAAAAAAATAGTAAAATAAAAACATATTGGCATCATCATCATCATTCATATCATCAGTTTCTTCTTCTTCAGAGTGAAATAATCGTTTCAGAATGTCGAGCATTTTCTGTTTCATTTCATCATGGGGCCCCAATTGCCCCATCTCCCCACCACATTCTCGCGCATAAACAATTCGGTACACGGGAGACTGCTCTATCAAATGAAATCACAAAACAATCAAACACAAAAATCACAACAAAAAGAAATAAAATAAAATAAATCCGTACAAATTTGCTTACGTACCTTGTAGCAGTGCTGCGAACAGTAGTATGAGTTGAATCGGCGGTATGTGTACTGCAAAAAGTAAAGATAAAAAATTTATCAATCTTAAATTCTTTACCTTGGCTTTTGATTGAATAAAATCATCTAAATTAAGACGCCTTAACTCCGCCAATTGGCTTTATCTCTTATTGGTATGGGGTAATGGTATGAACTGTCGTAAATTTTAAAATGGTGATTGAATCACCCATTTATTAATAGAACCTAGAGAAGCAAAAAAAAAAAAACGCGGAGAGAGAGAGAATGGTCCACATGGCTACAGAGAAACTGGGTGAAAATTAACCCAAAAAATATTTTTATTTTTTTTAATTTAACCCTAATTCCAACAAAATGGTGATAGCAAACTGAAGAATTTTAAACTCACAAAATTAAATATTTTTACAAAGTAGGCCGAGATTACCTATAAATGGTGATTGCATTATATTTTCGCCCCTCGAAGCATTGTATTGTATCAGAAAAAACTGCAAGAAGAAATCCATCCTAAGTAACGCAACCAAAAATTAGGTTTATGCAACAAAATTTAATTTTTTGTTATGGACAAATACTATAAGTCTATAACCGAGGCTGCATACCAATGAGTTTTGCAAGTCCCAAATAATCTGCAAGGAACAAAGAAAATGAGAAGAGCGAAAAATCAGAACTGGACTTGGGGATTTTCTGTGGCTCTGTAGATGCCTAATCTCTATTAACACATACAATCTCACCTATTGCGTAAGATAGTCACCATTTCCAAATTAAAGATACAAAAAAACCCAAAAATGAACCCTAGGTTTTTGAAATTGGGAAGTGGGGTACCTGAAGAAGATGGCAATGCACGCAACGGTTTCAGTCACAAACTTAATCGGTCAGCATTTAAGATCGAAAATTACTTTCTAATAGAATCACCTTTATCAATAATCCAAATATTCTAACCTTTTAGTCACAAGTAGTTCTTTCCTTTGCCCGCTCTGTGGAATCCACTACCATTAGTGCTCCATGTTGCACTCCATGAAGCTAAAACAAAATCGTATCTCACATTAATCCACTGACACTAAAAAATTAGAAAGCTAAATAAAGTTTATAGTAAAATACGCAGATTTAAAGCAAATCAAGTTAGATATAGGCCATGTTATTAAGGTAGTAATTGAATTGAAAACATTTTGGAAACTATTTTTTAATTGACAAAGCGATATTTTAAATTACTATAATTTATGGGAGGGAGATTCAAACTATAATGCAAAGGGGCCAAGCCATGAGCCCAACTGACCGAACAAACGTCTACACGTTGCTTGAAGCTTGAAACAACATGGATGGTAATCCAAAATTCCAAATTTCAAATGATTCTCAATTCCACTAAGCCTATAGAAAGATTCCCATAAAAAAGTATGGTAGTAGTCTAGCAGACACATATGCTCATGAAATAGAGACCATAGAGAGAGATGGTGACACATGGTTTTTGTCATCAGTGTCAACATCCGTAGAAGTGTCAGTCTGCTGGCTGTTGTCAGTAGACTTGGCATTTTCAACCCGACCCGTTAAAATTAGTATTCGGGTGAGTGATAAACGGGTCGGGTGATTAACGGGTCAACCCGTTAACCACCCGTTAACACCCGAATTCTAAGTTGAGGTAAAAAGCATTGGAGATGAAGCTTTCTTTGTGGGCGACAACCATTCGGTCTCTGTTTCGGCTTCAAATTTTCTTGGTTGCCGTGGGAATTCTATATATTACACTGATGATTTCATATCATCTTGTCCATCGTCTGATGGTAATAAACCATGTGATCGTGATTTGTTGTCTTTCTGATTGATCTTTTGTGAACAGTAGAACGCTCTTCTTTCTCTTTCTCTAAGCACAATATATAAACCATAGAAATACACCTCCCTTGAAGAAGCACAAAAAGACCCTCCCTCCCTCCCTTTGGTTTGTGAGTTAAAATCTAATTAATTTTAGAGGTTATAAGACTTGTATTTCAGCTCCCTCCCTCCCGTATGCAAAGGTAATTTGGGGTTTGGGCTTGTTTCAGTCCTATTTTACTGGTAAACAGTGTTGGGTCATTTATCACTGCTAGTGCTAGATTATACTTGCAGACTTACTGTGTTCAGACAGGGGCGTCCTGTTTTGGTTGGAATACATGTTTCAGTATCCATTTCAAACTTTGTTAACATGGTTATATGTGTGGAGGCATGTTGTTTCATGTGCTTTTGTGGAAGTTTGAATGCTATTTGAACCAAATGGCGTATCGTTGATCCAAATTACTTGTTTATTGGATTCAACTAAATCATATTTACACCGAATAAGTTTATGCACGGGGAGACTAGTATTTGGTCAACGTAATGTTTTGAGTATGCAGAGGTCAGCAGATTTATAACTATGATATCTCATCTTAATATTCCCCACAGTGTTCTAAATGCACTTTTTGGCTTCCAATTCATTCAGGTTATGGTGGAGAGTTTGGTTAATCATGCTGCTTTGAGACAAGGAACAGGAAGAGTCTTTTTGGTATGTTTGAATTAAAACGAAGCGTAGTTAAACACTGAACCATAGTGAAATTGTTATTTCTGAGCATGACTCCATGTGGTTTACTGTCCACTTGTTTTATTAAAGCTGTAGGAAGAAATGGCTTGAAGGTCGGACCTCAACAAAAACAGAAAGCCTGTGGAGTCCCACTATTCGGGTTGTCTTTAAATGCAGGCTGTACTAATATTATTTTGCATTTGGGGCATCCATCATAAAAAATCATAATTTCCTCAGTTTGTGATGCAAAATCAAATAAAACTATTATATGGCAAAGAATGTGTGAGACAGTGACACAGTAATGGTTCCTTTGTTGGCTTTTGCAAACTCCTTAATAAACTGCTTCCTTGGCCTCCATGGCTGGCAATCAAGTTGATGCGTTTAGGAATATCCTTGTGATGTGACAAAAAAATTATGTTGCTTGCACTGCGGGTGGAGCAAAACATTGAATTTGTGGGCAATAAGAGAGACGAGGTGCCTTTTTCACCAAAAGATCAACAGTCTGTAGAATCATTTCTCCAGGTTTGCAGTCATTATGCCGTTATTTTTGGATTTTGATGAATGTTGTTTTTGATATGTTAAATGGTCAACAAGCAGCTACAAAAACACAGTGGCAATACTCAGTTTGCACAATATTATAAAAGCATCATCAACGAGGATGCTTCTAAAAATTTGGCTCTATTGCGATGGATTTTCATCTCATCATCTTTTTCTAGCGTGCTCTTAATAGTCTCTGTAGAACTAGCAGTATGATTAATACCCTCATTTGAGAGGATGTTGGTGCTTTAAGTTTTGACCATGTTTATTTATATAACAAAAATTCGTGTATTTCTAGTTTTATCTATTTTCTTGTTATTGAAATGAAACTTTTCCATACATTATTGATGGTTTCAAAAATGTCACTTGTTGCAGGCTTTGGATAGAGACTACATGATGCCGTTGGTGTATAATGTGTACGACCATTCAGCTAACGTCAAGTAAAAATGCAGTGTTGCTTTCATAGTTTTGTACTTTTCTTGTTACTTGTATATGATATATTTACATAATTTATTGATTTATCTTTTTTAATAATAATTTGTTTCTGTTATAGGCCTATTTTACTTAACAATTATTGAGGTAATAGGGAGAGGGCCGGGGGCATAGAGAGGAGAGATTTAATTGTGAGTTGTGTTATTCTACCCTATTGTGCATTTATTTATAGTAGTAGGGAATGTTAATTCTTTATCCTAATAAGATTACAACTCTAATCGGATAATATTTAACCGTAGAGATATGATAGAATCTGCTACAGATATTCCAAATACTTTAGGATTTACACAATCACATTCCTACATTAAATACGACTGCAATACTCCCCCTCGAGTGTGTAAATACTCAAATAAAAACATAGCATTAGGTCTTTAGCGGATGAAGTAGATTACTTGAAGAAGTCATTGGCACAACGGGTGAATGCGAGTCTCATATTAAATAAAGTATGCATTGGTAGCAAAACTCACAAAATCTCGCTATGGTAAAACTTAAGTTAGGTACAAAACCCATATAATAAGGAGAAAGACCGCTAGTGCTTCGAATACGTTTCATGACTGCTCTCAACTAGTGATTGCTTGGTAGATCTCCAAGAAATTGCGGTGTCTCCAACGGTAAAGACATAACCTGTTTGAGAACGTGCCCTATGTAGGTTAGACAGATAACCGACATATGCGTAAACCAATAAGACGAGAATCAACTTGAGGACCCAGGGCAGTCGTGGCTCCTCTCAAGGATTTGTGGGTGTAGAACAAGCCTAAATCCGTTGTACCCTTGACGTAGCGGAAAATATCTTTAACACCATTTCAGTGTCTGCGTGTAGGCGCATTGCTATATCTTGCCAAATATTCACAAGGAAGGAAATGTCGGGTCTAGTGCATTGAGTCAAGTATAATAAAGCACCAATTGCACTTAGGTATGAAGCTTCAGGCTCCAAAATCTCTTCCTTGTCTTCCTTGGGATGGAATGGATCTTGTTTAGCATCTAGAGCCTGAACGATCATCTAAGTACTCGAAGACTTTGTTTTATCCTCATTAAAACATCATAGCACCTTTTGGGTGTAGTTCAGTCGATATTCTAGAATTCTATCGGAACAACACTTGATCTCCAAGCCAAGGCAAAATCGAGTTTTTCCAAGATCCTTCATCTCAAATTTCGACTTCAAGTGAGCGATAGTTTCCTCAAGTTCTTCGGAAGTTTCAATGAGGTTCATGTTGTCGACATAAACTGCAACGATCTCCAATTCGGAATATGACTTCTTGATGAACACGTATGGGCATGAATCATTGTTTACATAACCTTGACTTGTCAATATTCACTCAGACGGTTATACCACATTTGTCCAGATTGTTTCAATTCATAGAGTGATCTCCTCAATCTAATTGAGAGAATGTTTTGAGGTCTAAAACTATCTGAACCCGTCAATGGAAGTCTTTCGGGAACTTTCATGTAGATTTCCTCATTTAGATCCCCATAGAAATACCACATCCGTAAGCTCTATATTCAGTTTTCGGAAACTACCAAATTGATAAGGTAGGGGAGCGTTATGACGTCCATTATGGGTAGAATTGGCATTCGTGCCATTTACGTGACATACTCGATATCTTAACGGGTCGTGTCGTGTAACACTCGTTAAAGTAACCGGATAATATGACCCGACTTGAAATCGACCTGTTAATATTATCAAGTAGTATGACCCGATTTATTACCCGTTAAAGAAAATATATTTTAAATCAATAAATTATGAAAATGAAAAACATAATTTGACCCAAAAAAAAATATATATATAAAACATAACACTAAATTAGTATATGCATACCACATTGTCGGAGAAATTTTACTTCAAAACATATAAAAAATATTTGTCTTTCAAATATTACATATTCTAAAATAAGAGCCTAATGAAAAAAATATTAGTACATTACTATAAAGTACCAAATGTTTAAGGATATGCAAAATGAAGGGGGTTACATTTTAAGGTTGAGGAACCTTTGCACGTTTATATATGCTTTTACATTTTCCAGACTTGTACACCAATGATTATGAATTTTAATTTTTTTGTACTCATTTAAAATACTATTCATGAGGGTTTGTATGGTTTTAAAAATTCAAACGATGATTTACCCATACTCAAAGGATAGAGGATGCAATCACCAACCTTTGCATATTATTTCACATTATTTGCACTTGTAAATTAATTATAATTTTTTAATGTGTTTGGTTTTTAAGTTACTTGATACTTTTATTTTTAATTTGTTATATAATTTTTTAATTTCACTCTTTGCCTATAGTATACTATAGAAATAAATAAATAAAACTTTTTTTTTTAAGTTTATATATAATAATAATAATTCGATAATACATATTTAATATACATTATGACTATTGTATTTTATAGTAAGTTTTTTTTAATAGTTTAAAAAATTAAAATCATCAAAATAACTTTGTTCTTAACGTGTCAAAATGGATTACCCACGAGTCACATTCATGTAGTTTATTAAGAACCTGTTATTAATCGGTTCTTATCGTGTGACACAATAACGATCCGAATAGTTATCGTGTTGACCTGAAATTCGTTATTTTCGTGTCGTGTTAACGGGTATTGTAAGAAATTGCCAGGTCTAATTACGGGAGAATACGTTTCCTCGTAATTAATCCCAGGGCATTGATAGAAGCCTTGCACTACGAGGTGTGCTTTGTATCACACTATTTCATTTCTTCTCATTACTCTTCTTCATGAAAACCCACGTGTAGCCCATGGGCTTCACATGTGGTGGAGTAAGAGCTACGGGTCCAAAAACCTTACGTTATGCAAGCGAATCAAGTTTGACTAGTCGGTTCTACGTCAACATTCATCAATGGAACGTGGTTCAATGTTAACGCTAAGCATGATGTCAGTAGTTACTATGTATGCAAAGGTATCGTCGACGATCATCTCATTCCGATTCCAAACATCATCCAATGCTACATAATGGACAGAAATCTCGTGATTCTCGGGAGGTCAGTTTGTCTCGTTTAGGACATCACTGTAATCTAGAATAACTTCATGCATTGGAACAGATGAGTAAGTGATCGTCAGATTCATACTAGGTTCACTAGTTTGTGCTGTTTCCTTATTTCGGGGTTGTGAATCCTTTGAATCAGGAGGTCTGCCACACTTCAAGGTGGGAACAGATGATTGGCTAGCTGCCAGTGTACCAGGCCGCGTAGGAGGTGTGGCCGACCCTCATTTGGGGGCAGCTTGTCTTTCTGAGGCGATGTTACAACGAATTCTTTTGTACACTGACTCTTGCAGGTGTGTTTATAGTTGATATATGTGATCTCGTCACATTTGCTAGATCAGTAAAAGCATCTGGCATGCTTTGAGCAACGCTCTGAAGATCTAGAATACAACACACTTCAGTTTCAGATTAGGCAGTGTGGGGATCTAAATGAAATGGGAGCATACCACGATAATTTGCCGTGTGGGGATCATAAACGATATAGATTCCTATTCTTCTTTAAGGATCCATTTTGGTACTTAGTGGCGGCGGTAATGGCACCTAAACTGCGCACCCGAACACACGTAGATGCGAGAAATCATGCTTGTCTCTATTGACCAATTGTAATGGTGAATGAGATTGGGTAGTGGTGGGCCTTAGATGGACCAACATAGCCTCATGCAATATTCGATAGCCCTAGGCAGATACTGGCAAGTTGGTTTGCATAACCAAAATATGAGCTATCGATTGAAGGTGCTTTATGAAAGCTTCAGCCATGTTGTCTTAGGTGTGAACATGAGGTACATGATGTTAAACTTCAATCCTAAAGTCTGCGATGTAAACTCTTCAGCATTATTTAGTCGATTTGACTTGATCGGATAATTAGGGTGGTGGACCCTAAACTTAACAATTTGAGCTAGGAGTTTTGCAAGTGCAGCGTTGCGTGTGGAGAGTAAGTAGACATGTGACCAATTTTACTGAACAATTATAAAGGGAATAGGGAGAGGGGCCTGGCGGCACATAGAGAGAAGAGAGATTTAGTTGTGAGGTGTGTTATTCCACTCCATTGTGCCTTTATTTCTAGTAGTAGGGAATGTTAATGCCTTACCCTAATAGGATTACAACTTTAATAGGATAATATCTAACCTTGGAGATATGGTAGAATCTACTAAAGATATCCCAAATCCTTTAGAATTTACACAATCACATTACTATATTAAATGACTGCAACAATTTCTGGTTTATAAAATTAAATAGAATAATTTGTATTTGGTGTCAAATATGGTGCTAGATTTTCATTGCCGTCGCCAAAAGATTTATACGATGTTTTTAGCATTTTTTGCGACATTATTTATTTTTTGTATTTGCTGAACAGAAAAATGGTTTGAAAAAACCTTAACTATAGTTAAGGTTCTAAAAGACGCTAGGCGGTAGTCAGAAGGTAGGCTAGGGCCTAGCACCTAGGTGGCTAGGCGGATTTAAGTAAAATCGTATAAATAAGTCTCTTTATACGTAAAAAATACATAATTATATTGATATACATAAATTGCAAAGTAAAATGACATATAGGTTAATTTATATATATATATATATATTATAAAATATAAGTATATATGTAAAATTATGGGGTTCTTTCTCTTGGTTTTGTAACGTTTTTTTTCTAAATATATATGTTTTAATTGTTGGGCCTTATTTTTCATTTCAATAAGGATTTGGGCCTTGTTTTCACAGTAAATAAATTAGTATATTTTATTCTCTAATTTTATAAGGAATATTAGCCACTTAAAATCCTAGCTCTAACCCTAGGCAACAACGTAACCTCTGCGTCGTCTCATTCTTCTCCTCTGCTAATTGCAATTTTATAGAGCTCTGCACTGTAACATTCTTCTTTGCAAATTGCAATTTTACATAGCTCTTTCTTGTCAAATGTTCTATGCCGACTCCTCTTCTACGCACGTAGAGAGGGGACAAGATGCAAGGATACGACGAAATCACAGCAAGACGGCAGAGATGCACAACCTTTGCAGCAATAATTTTTATTGTTTTAAGTTGCATAACCACCCAGAGACTGCCGACGCCGCCTAGCCCTCCTAGGCGGCCGTCTAGGCACCACTTAATAGTCTAGCTGATTGATTGAACGATTTTGGTATAATCGGGGCGGTGTGCCGTCGTTGAGTGCCTAGGCGCCATCTAGGTGGCCGCCTATCCTGATTTTTGGAA